CTGTCTGTCTGTCTGTCTGTCTGTCTGTCTGTCTGTCTGTCTGTCTGTCTGTCTGTCTGTCCGTCCGTCTTCCGTCTGTCCATCCATCCATCCATCTTTTGTTTTATGTATTTGTCTATCCTTCTTTCTGTCCGTCTGTCTGTCTGTCCTTTTATGGCCGTTTACACTGTCAAAGGGTACCTAAAAGCGAACCGTACCATACCACTTATTGGGTACCCTATCAGAGGGACACCTACCACAACAATAGGGTACCAAAAGGCACTCTGAATAAGAGAAAGCTCCTGACTGGTTAACGTGGCACGAATGTCCGTTGAAGTTCAGATTTTCCAACTCGAGCGTTTCGTGTGAAATGTAAAATACGCATGTTAAGTGCATTAATCTCGCGAGATGCTCAACCTGCGCGGCTTCATTCCCATCCCTTCGTTAGCGTGATCTATCAGGATATCTATTCGTGTCTTAACATGTAAATCACTCACGCTTGATGCTTCAAGAAGTTGAAGTTTTCTGAAAGAGTTGTCCTTCGTCGACTTAATAATCCTGTACAGTTTGTCATGTTTAGTTGTAGCTATTTTCACAATTATAAATAGCGCTTCCTCCAACACAGCGCAGGCATCAGGACGTGTCGGTAGGTAATCTGTTTCGCATTAGCGTTCACATTTACATTTAAATTACAGCCCTTCATTCATTTAGCAGACGATTCTATCCAAAGCCGCTTACAACCGTTCTTCCATTTAGATACTGATTTGAGTAATCTGTGCATATATAAACACCAAATTCTTCTGTGACCTGAATGATTTGGTATAGTAAGAGCATTATGACGAGAATAAACACAATTAAAAAAACGGCAAAGGGCTGTGCAATTAACTGCATTCACATTTAACCAGTTAGCAAACGCTTTTATTTAAAGACACTTACAATTGAGGAGATGTTTAGCAATTCAACAACAGAGTATATAAGTGAAGATATATATATATATATATATATATATATATATATATATATATATATATATATATATATATATATATATATATATATATATATATATATATATATATATATATATATATATATATATATATATATATGTGTGTGAGTGTGTGTGTGTGTATGTGTTTATATCTCTATATATTTATATAGATATATATATAGATATATATCTATATATATATATATATCTATATATATATATCTATATATATATATATATATACACATATATACACATATACACACATATACATACATATATATATATATATATATATATATATATATACACATATATATATATATATATATATATATATATATATATATATATATATATATATATATATATATATATATATATATATATATATATATATATATATATATATATATATATATATATATATATATATATATATATATATATATATATATATATATATATAATTATGTCTGTGTGTGTGTGTGTGTGTGTGTACAGTTGAAGTCAGAATTATTAACCCCCTTTGAATTTTTTTTTCTTTTTTTAAATATTTCCCAAATGATGTTTAACAGGGCAAGAGAATTTTTCACTGTATGTGTGATATTTTTTCTTCTGGAGAAAGTCTTGTTTGTTTTCGACTAGAATAAAAGCAGTTTTTAGGGTCAAAAGGGTCAAAAGTGCTTTGCCACTTGAAAAGTTTAAAACAGCAAACAATGGACACAACGTAAATTGACAGACCTACAGTTCAGTTCAACAACTCTATTCAAAGTCAATGGAAAGCATTATCACTGACGCACCATGTGAAGCATGCATAAAAGAAATGCAAGAGCTACTCAAGAGGAAGAGCTACATTTGTACAAAGCAATTAAGTCTCAAAAACAAACATGATTGTTTCAGATTTTTTTTCTTTTCTTCATTTAACACTGTCGGTTAACATTGGGGTAGGGTATAGTGTACCCAACAGTAATGTTTCATTAATGTTGTGTAAATGTTAGAACGCAGTGTTATTAAAAGAATACAGGAGAAAATAATGTTATATTATTTATATTTGTATATATTATTACCCACATTATTAATAACATTGATAGGAAATTGTCTCAGGAACATTATTTTATTATATATTTACTTTTTCAATAACTATAGTAAGCAAAATAATGTAATAATAATAATGTTAATGCATTGTCTAACAAACTGTACAAACAAAATTCCAACCTTCCACAATAACATTGAATAACTTACTGAGAATGTTAGGGAAATGTTTTTAGAACATTAAATTAGCTTGAGATTGAAACGTTCTGAAAACATTTTGAATAATGTTCTTATAGCCAAAAAAGGTACCCATAAACCAACACAATACATCTCTCTAGTCAGATGTATGAGTTATTGAGAGTCATATACAGTTGAAATCAGAATTATTAGCCCCCCTTTGAATTTTTTTCTTTTTTAAATAATCCCCAAATTAGGTTTAACAGAGCAAAAAAAATTTCACAGTATGTCTGATAATATTTTTTTTATTCTGGAGAAAATCTTTTTTTATTTTATTTAGGCTAGAATAAAAGCAGTTTTAATTTTTTTATAAACCATTTTAAGGTCAAAAATATTAGCCCCTTTTAAGCTTTTTTTTTTTTCGATAGTCTACAGAACAAATCATTGTTATACAATAACTTGCCTAATTACCCTAACCTGCCTAGTTAACCCAATTAACTTAGTTAAGCCTTTAAATGTCACTTTAAGCTGTATAGAAGTTTCTTGAAGAATGTCTAGTCTAATATTATTTACTGTCATCATGGCAAAGATAAAATAAATCAGTTATTAGAGATGAGTTATTAAAACTATTATGTTCAGAAATGTGTTGAAAAAATCTGTCTGTTAAACAGAAATTCGAGGAAAAATAAACAGGGGCTAATAATTCTGACTTCAACTGTATATTAAGTTTCTGTTTTTATACTGATATTGCATTGTATTGTATCATTCTTGTTCTTAAGCTGCAATGTTGGAAACAACCAGCAGATGCCATGGAACTCTTTGGGAACCCCCAATTGCAACAGACGAAAACTGTCCAATCAAGAGGGGCAAAATGACCTGGAATGCTGCCATTGTAAAGAACTGCTGTGTCCACAGGAGAAGAGGCAGCTTCCATTACAAGCCACATCTAACGGAAGAACCGACTTACTGGGTCTGGCCCAGAACCCAATCGTACAGGAATTAACAGACCTGGAAACGCAAATCCAGCTTATCAAAAAGCAACTACAGCTTGCAATGAAGAAGAAAAAAGAGCTGGAGCAGTATCAGAAGACAAAGACTTTAACCGAGTCCTAGACTCGTGGAAGATTTGGCTGGAGTTTTATGGGTTGCGTTGTTCAAAGTCTTGGACCTTCTAGTTGATTATTTCAACTGCAGCTCCTAAGGGAAGCAGGACTTTCTCAGCACTTTCTTCGAAGCCTTTTTGTTATTTGTTTTTATGTTTCATTTCTCATTGAACTGAACTTGAACGAAAGGACATACAGGGAAATATGAAGTCAAAATGGGATATAAGCAGTGTGTATTTCTGTATTCCCAGAAGTTCAGTTCTGGGAATACCTTGTTTTTAATGCAGCGACGTGACAAAGACAGCAAGTAACTGCATAAAAGGAAGACACTTATGTGTCAAAATGACATTTATTTAAGGTGTCAAAGTGATGTACGGTAGCGTTTCCTGCATATTGATACGCAGGGCTGAGAAGATTTTTTTTTTAAAAGAAGAAAGCCACACAGTTTTCTCTGGAGTTGTAACAAGAAAGTGTTAACCTTGAACACGCTGTTGACCTTGAGTGGTTATGTTTCTATGGATTAAAAAGGCTTTGAGATATATTTCTGTCAGTTTAATTTCTTTCAGATGATATCAAATATGTTCTTTGTCCACTGGAAATATAATGAAATGTAAAATTATTAACCAGAAGAAAAAGAAAAGTGGTGAGATGATGATGATGGAATAAGGTCAATTCACACCACACTAACAGACATCAATGGTTAATCTCCACTGAGCAGTGCAGTACAGTATGCATTCGTTTCCATTTTCACTGTCAGAAGTACCAAAATAGTGAACCGTAATGTACAACTATTTTGGGACGCCCAACAACCTGCCAAATGCGGGTAAATTTCAGCTTTGGCGGGTTAGACAGACACTCCCACTAGCCACTTTGGCTGGTTGAAAATCATTTTTAAATGGTAGTTTTCTTAAAAGCAGGGTTTGACTTTAAGGATTACCCAATATACGTGCAAATGTGATATTAGAATCGGGAAGCAGCACGACTGACAGGAATAATTGTGTTCGCGTAAGCAAAAGAAAGCAGGTGAATACTGAATGAGAGGATGATCACTTGCGCTAGCAGCTGATGTGATGCACACGACGGTTTAAAACGCGTGCGCGCTCCTTTCCTTGCGTGAAGCAACCATGCCTGGAAGGCAACTGTGATCGGTTCTCTTTCAAATAGACTAGATCAGGGATGTCAAACTCAATTCCTGGAGGGCCGCAGCCTTGCAGAGTTTAGTTCCAACCCTAATTAAACACACCTGATCAAACTAATTGAGTCCTTCAGGCTTGTTTGAAACCTACTGGTGAGTGTGTTGAAGCAGGGTTGGAACCAGCACCAGTTGCTTTTGCTTTGAACAGATTATTAATCGGCCATGCGCGTGTGATCAGTGTCGGAGATAGCTGAGTTGCAGCTCTAGGCAAAGGACGGTCACACCGCCCTCAACCCTAAAGTGAAAGGGGGGGGGGGGTGTTGTAGCGCAGGTGGTAAGGGTAGTGCGCGGACGCCACCCTTTCTATTCTGTCGCCCTAGACGCGGATAGAAGAGGGCGCAGGTGGTGAGGGTAGTGCCGTGGATGGCGCCCTCTCTATTCTGCTGCAATAGAAGCGGATATAACTGAGGGTGCGGGTGGTGAGGGTAGTGTCGCGAATGCCGCCCTCTCTATTCTGCTGCAATAGACGCGGATATAACTGAGGGCGCGGGTGGTGAGGGTAGTGTTGCGGATGCCGCCCTCTCTATTCTGCTGCAATAGACGCGGATATAACTGAGGGCGCGGGGGGTGAGGGTAGTGTCGCGGATGCCGCCCTCTCTATTCTGCTGCAATAGACGCGGATATAACTGAGGGCGCGGGTGGTGGGGGTAGTGTCGCGGATGCCGCCCTCTCTATTCTGCTGCAATAGACGCAGATATAACTGAGGGCGCGGGTGGTGAGGGTAGTGTCGCGGATGCCGCCCTTTCTATTCTGCTGCAATAGACGCGGATATAAGTGAGGGCGCAGGTGGTGATGGTAGTGCCGTGGATGGCGCCCTCTCTATTCTGCTGCAATAGACGCGGATATAACTGAGGGCTCGGGTGGTGAGGGTAGTGTCGCGAATGCCGCCCTCTCTATTCTGCTGCAATAGACGCAGATATAACTGAGGGCGCGGGTGGTGAGGGTAGTGTCGCGGATGCCGCCCTTTCTATTCTGCTGCAATAGACGCGGATATAAGTGAGGGCGCAGGTGGTGATGGTAGTGCCGTGGATGGCGCCCTCTCTATTCTGCTGCAATAGACGCGGATATAACTGAGGGCTCGGGTGGTGAGGGTAGTGTCGCGAATGCCGCCCTCTCTATTCTGCTGCAATAGACACGGATATAACTGAGGGCGCGGGTGGTGAGGGTAGTGTCGCGAATGCCGCCCTCTCTATTCTGCTGCAATAGACACGGATATAACTGAGGGCGCGGGTGGTGAGGGTAGTGTCGCGAATGCCGCCCTCTCTATTCTGCTGCAATAGACGCGGATATAGGCAAGGCAAGGCAAGGCAAGGCAAGTTTATTTATATAGCACATTTCATACACAATGGCAATTCAAAGTGCTTTACATAAACAAGAATAAAAGAAACAAGTAAAATAAAAATAAAAACAAATAATAAAAATGCATAAAAACAAAACAAAACATAAAAACAGGTAAAATGTGATATAAAAGAATGAAGAAGAAGAGAAAAACATGATAGTGCAATCTGTCGGACGCAGCACAGTGCTCATTCAGTAAAGGCACAGCTAAACAGATGTGTTTTCAGTTTTGATTTGAATGTGCCTAATCTTGCCACATCTGATCATTTCTGGAAGCTGATTCCAGCAGCGATGGGCGCTGTTAGTGGCTAAAAGCCGATTCACCCTGCTTTGACTGAACTCTTGGAACTTCTAGTTTATATGATCCTAAAGATCTGAGTGATCTGTTAGGTTTGTATTGAGTGAGCATATCTGTGATGTATTTAGGTCCTAGGCCATTTAGTGATTTATAGACCAGTAATAATACTTTAAAATCTATTCTGAATGTAACTGGCAGCCAGTGTAAAGACCTGAGGACAGGCGCGGGTGGTGAGGGTAGTGTCGCTGACGGCGCCCTCTCTATTCTGCCGCCCTAGACATTATGCTGGCTTCACACCATACTCCTCCTCCTTTCCTAGATGAGTGGCATGGTGGCCCAGTGGTTACTTCACACCAAACAGAGCACTGTGTCACTCGCTATAAGTGAAGTTTATTCATAAACTAATTTCGAGAGGATCACGTGCTTATGATTGCTTGCGACTGGTCCCGCATTATTCAATTTACGATTAACCAATCAGATGACTCCTGAGCCACAATAAATACCCTAAGTGCCATATAACAGGCATCTTCATTTTGAACAATTCCCCCTTCCACCCCTACTCCTCCTTTCCTAGATGAGTGGCACGGTGGCCCAGTGGTTAGCACTGTTGCCTCACAGCAAGAACATCACTGGTTCTAGTTCTTACCAAGCCAGCCAATGTTTCTGTGCAGAGTTTAAATGTTTTCCCCGTGCTCACGTGGGTTTCCCCCGAGTTCCCTGATTTCCTCCCACCGTTCAAAAACTTACAACTTTAATTAAATGACTAATCCAAACAGGCACCATAGAAATGCTCCTAGTAAGAAGTTATCTCTTAAGAGCAATCACTATCTGTTCATTAGCTGCAGGGCAGTTCTCGAGATCTACCTAAGCTCAAACTCCCCTCTCACCTTGCAAACGGGAGGGAGCCCCAGGCTCGAGGATCTTACGAGCTCAGGGCTCTCTCTCTCAGGACAGCATGTCAAACAAGCTTTATAATCAATCACCAGCTTAGTGTGAACTCTTGAATTCACCTTTACTGACATTTGCATTTATTTTGGATGAAGAGTTGAAGATCATTACCCGAACCCGAAGGAATCCAACAGATTCTGGGTTAATTTTAATTATCATTTTAGACTGGGTCTGGCTGGGCTTGCATGGTAAATGAACAGTCATGTGAAGCATTTCGATTAGCATGAGAAAGTAAACAAATAGTTTGTTGCAACATTAAAGTCCATCCCTTCAAAGGTGAAACAAATGATGACGGAGAAGTCAAAAATAGCTAATTTTGACTGCGGTCAGGCCAACCGCCAGTTCAGTAAAAACGGTCATTCTAGCCACCAAGGTATTTTGGCGGTCACTCATGCACTGCGTATTACGATAGAGCGCTAAACAGCAATCAGACACGAAAGATGACGAGGTCACCCGCTACATTGAAACTGCTGTCATAGTTTTGCCAGACTGATTTTTAAAGAGGTCTGAAGAGCCATGCAGCCTAAACAGCCATTACTAATACTCAATTATTTTTAAAGAGGCTAAAGAGTCGATTTCCTTTTGTGTAATGTGCAATTCTGAAGTTTGCTGAAGATTTTGCTCTACAGAAATCAGCAATACATTAAATCAGAATACCAAAAGTCAAAAACAACTTCACGGTACCGTATGATCATACAAATCTTGTTCAGGAAAATGTAGGGTGCTAGAAAGAACAAAAGCAGAGGAGAAATGATATTCAGCAGATGTTCATTATCGGAATCTGAATCCTCTAAAGATGAAGCTGGCTCCTCTGTGGCATAGTTAAACCATCCTAACCCATCTACAGTTCACGGCTGCCTCAGCGCCCTGATGCTTCAACATTCTGCATCTGAAACCCTCGGGAGACATCTTGGTAGATTTCTGTCAACTTTGTATAATAATGACTTATGAGTAACTTATGTTTCACTCTCTGAAACAATAGTATTAGTTCGTAGAAAAGACAGTTCTCCCTAGAGCACAATTAATTGTTAGAAAAAAAAAAAAAATTACAATCTAGACTGTTATTCCAAACGTGCATGATTTGCATATGTCTATTAAAGGATTAGTTCGCACACAATTAAAGTTATGTCATTAATTATTCTCACTCTGTCATTTCGTTCCTCTGAGACCATTGGACATATTCAGAAGACAAGTTAAGATATTTTAGATTAAATCTGAGAGCTCGCTTACAGAGGCGGATTTAACCAATAAGCAAGGTAAGCTGCCACTTAGGACCCTTGGAAATCTTAGGGTCACTAAATAAATACCTAGAAGTATAAACTATAAACTATATATAATAACATGTTCTATTATATTTTGTATGGCGAGGGTCTAAATATATATATATATATATATATATATATATATATATATATATATATATATAT